ATAATGTGATCGGGACCAATGCACCCTTGAGAGAGCAGGGGAGGAGAGAGAAGAGAGAAGAGAGGAGAATGAGAGCAAGGAGGAAGAGAGAGAAAGAGACTAGGGAATAAATTTCCCTGGGGAGAGGGTTTGCTATATATGACTTAATATGTTATATAAAATAAAATTTGAAAACCAATTCAATTATAAAACCTTAATGTTTTATATTAATAATTTTATATCTCTCTAATACATTTCATTATACAAGATTCCATTATACAAGAGTCTTTTGAACTCGATACATGAATTTTGCGTAAGTCTATTTTTTGGTCTATCTTATGCTATATAGACTTGTTTTTGATTTATCTTATACTTATTTAATTTTATCACAAATAAGACGGTGAGAATTGAATTCATAATAATTTAATCACTTTAACTTTGATATTATATTTAAAATAAATTTAATCCAAAATCTTAAGAATATATATTATATTAATAATTTTATATTTTCCTAACAAATATTAAGTTGTTAGGTAGTGTTAGGTAGAAGATTTATTTTGGGATTGATGGAAAAGTGTAAGTGGATATTGGAAAATACGACGTTTGGTTCAAGTTTTTGAGAAAAATACTAGGCAAATTGGATAGATGGAGAAATGACTTTTGTGTTGATTTTTGGATGAAATTCACTGTTACAGAATAGCACTTGAGATGTGGTATTTTGAGATAACTAGGAAAGTGAAAAAAGAGGTGCGAAGTTTCTCTCAAACATAGATTTTTTGTAAATTTAAATAAACTTCTCTGTTAATATTTCGGTCAACCAAACAACTTTTTTTATATTTTTCTACCAAACTCATTTTCTATCATTTTTTTAGTAATTATATTTTTTTAGTATTCAAAAAATTTCTCCTCAAGATGCAGTAACATCTACGATTCGGGTAAAAAAATTCCTGGCTTATTGTTCTTAATTTTGACAGAGGGAAAACAATCATGGATCAAAATAAGGGGTACGGTTGATGGCAAAATAGTGTGGCGACTGGGAGGCTGTTTCTGTCACGAGACGTACTGCCTGCTGTGACAGCCTTTTATTTATTTATTTTTGGCAACATTAACGAGTCAAGGTTTCATGCAGATCTGTAGTTCTGTACCCATCTCTTCAGATCTGAAAAATCTCACCCAGCCATCATCATTCATAAGATTAAACAATGTCCATAAATTCTACAAAGCTGATTACTCAAGCCACGATGATGATGATTTAATAGGGATTGTAGTGACCCTACTGCCCTCTTTTCCAATAAAATTTACCGGAATGCCATATGTAGGATTTTTTTTTTTAAAAAAAAAACTAACTAATGGACAAATTCACTACATCTGTCGGTAAGTTTAGTTTGGGCACTTGATTCGTTTTTTGAAGTCATCAAATTCACTGGAGTCAGCAACTTTGAAGGTCAAATTAGGAGATTTGCAACACTGAAATAGATGTTTAGCCAAACTCACTAGGGCTTTCAGCAAGTTTAGTTTCACACATGATATAAAATTTTGATAAGTGTATTGTAAAATTTTAAAAAGTCATAATTTTTTATTTGTTTATTTGAATTAAGTGCTTTTTTTATTCTTTGTAACTTTTTAATATTTACACGCTGACAAATATCCAGAGGGAACTTGATCAAAATATTTTTTCAAAAAATATTTTATTGTGTGCCGTTTGATATATTTTATTTCTATGACAATGTTATTTAATTTTTTTATCTTATTTTCACTTTCCAGCATTAAAAGATAATCTTTCAAGTGCGTAGATCTCCAAAAGTTAAGTGAAATAAAAAAAAATTAATTTGGACGTTCGAGTCAAAAGTTATGTTCTTCTAAAATTTTATAGTAAAATTATCAAAATTTTGTGCCGCGTGTCAAACTAAACTCACTACAAGACCCAATAAGTTTGCCTAAACATACCACGTGTCATGCTCGGCTGATTTGATAACCAAAGTCGCTACACCTAACAGCGAGTTTGGCTGCATGGGAGTGTCGAAGAAAAAAAATCTCCATTTGGCATTCTAACAAATTTTTCTGAAAATACTTACAGTACGTTCAAAGTCCCGCTTTAATAAAAATATTAATAATAAATTAATTAAGTAAGATATTTGGGATATATGTAAACCAAGATTGAGCTATGGGAAGTTCACATCAGGATATCATACAATTGCAGAGTGCTCTAATAATTAATATACTTATAACTATGTAATAAATCAATGAAGCATGCATGACATTATTAATCGGAGATCATAGTGATTCAATTTGAAGCAATCTTGGCTACCAATTAGTAATCGAAGGAGGTTAGGGCGCGAGCAAATTACTGGTGGAGCCAAAGAGGTTAGAATGGACAATAGCCTCCAAGTTCATATAAGCTTTTAATTGTAGCCGCTATCTCTTTTTTTCCAATATAGATAGTATCATCCCCTCCCAAAAATTCATCGAAGCTTTAATTAGTTATGAGCACCATCTAATTTTTTTGGTCATACACTTGCATTTTACCCTTTTACAAAATTATCTACTTCCCCCATTTTAATCACACATAACCGAAGCCAAGAAATTAAAACTGGGAATTCGATTGCATGAATTACATGAAACGAAGGCACGGCTCAGGAGAAAGTTTACTATATATATAGTTTTTGGGTGGAATAAAAATGCATGCACTTGGTGCACGATAAAAATAATAGCGACTTATATATGTTATTCATCAATCGAGAAGATCGTGAATGTAGATCGTATGGTCATAGATAATATGAGATCTGCGCGCGACAATCTTAAAAAAGGATGCTGCAAGGAGTGGCAGATCACCGTGTACTAAGAGGCTCAGGGGCAAATGATGTGCACAATGACAACTAAAAAAATAGAGTTCAAAAAGTGTATACCTAAGAAACTTAAGCTGCTATTTATAGATAGGATTATTTGTAGGTGTGAGAGTTTGAATCATACTATTGAGAGACAAGATGATAGGTTTACTTGGTTATTATTAGGATGTTATACTACAATCACTTTTCTCTTGCAATATCTTTAAACCATTTTTATTACTGTTCTATCAAAATCAAAGGAATAGTTCTCATTTTGATAGAATGATAATGAAAATGGTTATAAGAGATTGTAAGGAAAAAATTGTTGTAAGAATAACTCCCTCCTGAAATATATCATTAGTTTATTAATCAATCTATATATATACCTTATGATAATAATATCTAGTTCTCACCAAAAAAAATAAAAAAATAAAAAATAAAATCTTAGTCATTATTTAATTTATTAATTATTTATACATTTTTACTAATAGTTGAGTCATTATTAACCAAATTTATCTATGTAGAAATTAGTCACACAAAATGGTATATGCACTAAGAAATTGAATGAGTATATTATGTGTGAGATTGAACTATATGGGAGGACTGAAAAACTGGAGATAGGGTTATGTCATACTGAAGGTCGAGTAGTAGCATTCTACACCTCCCTTTTTCTTGTCTCTTCTTAATTTGTTTTGTTTGATAAAAGTCATCACGTGAATGCCTCGCAGACCCCTCTTCTTCTCTTCTTAGCCTTTTCCTCCTTATATAAGAACCCTACCACCGTGTGGTCAGCCCCTTAATGTTGAGATATTCAAGTGTGATGAGTCTCACATTGGCTGGTAATGAGCTAAGTGAAGAGTATATAAGTGAAAGGACCCATGAACCCAATGCCTTAAGGTTTTGGGTTGAGACATGGTGTCGGATCCACTTGCTACGGTTGGTGTAGCCTTAGCTCATTGATAGTGGCCCCCCGTCACGGGCTTCCCCTGGACCCGCTTGACATTGGAGTTTGAGGGAACGAATTTCCCAACAGTGGTATCAAAGCCGGATTGGGCTCGAGCTAGCCTAGTGATTGGCTAGGAGGCGGGGTCGAGTACTTTGCGCTTCGGGTACTCGGTTGAGGGGGAGCACACCAATGGTGGGAGGTGGAGATTGTTGAGATATTCAAGTGTGATGAGTCCCACATTGGTTGGTAATGAGCTAAGTGAAGAGTATATAAGTGAAAGGACCCATGAACCCAATGCCTTAAGGTTTTGGGTTGAGACATGGTGTCGGATCCTCTTGCTACGGTTGGTGTAGCCTTAGCTCATTGGTGGTGACCCCCCGCCACGGGCTTCCCCTGGACCCGCTTGACATTAGAGTTTGAGGGAACGAATTTCCCTGACACTTAATTCTATTTTAGAATCTTGTTATTCTTTTACCCCGTACCCTATCCCACAGCACTGTCTACTGTCCATTTTCGCCAAAACAACACTGTACCCTCTCTCTCTCTCTACGTCCATCCATGACTCCAGTTTTTCCGAACCCACCAGGTCCTTCGATACAAGATCAAAGTCAACTGTTCGTTTCTCCTAATAATGACGAACCAACTTCTCTCTCATACCGTACCTATTTTGACATACTTGATCAAAGGCAAACCAGAGATATCAGAGATTTTAGACATGATCATCAAGAGGCAAGATCTTATTTCCTTTCATATTCTGTTTATTGAGGCTTAGAAAATATATATATATACTCTTGACGCTTTTTCCTTTTTATTTTTAATTGGATTTGTTAACTATACATACAGTAGTAATCCTTGTTTCGAGAGAACAACGTTTGGTGTTCATTATCATTATTTGCACTGCTCTACATATTGAGTATGTGGCTTTAGTTAGTATGACGAAAAGCAAGAATAATATATCATCCCCCCTAGCTCCCCCTAATTAATACGTTTTGATTCTTTGCTTAATTGTATGACAATTCTCACCAGATCAAAAGCAACTAGAAGATTGGCCGTTTTCATATCATAAAAAAAATGTTAAAACCAAAAACCCTTTTCAGTCTGAATCATGCATCTAATATATATATATATATATATATATATATATATATTTTATCTCTTCAATTTAGGATGGGAGGCTTGTATTTCATGGTGGATCTTCAAGCAATATTCACCAAGTGTGCAATTCATCCTCCGTTTCACCTCAGCCAGTTATGGTTTATCCAAACAGTGCACATGGCCATAATTTATCCCTCTACAAAGTAGAGGAAGAAGAAAACAAAAGCGTTTCCGAGTCTACAAAATGGATGTCTTCAAAGATAAGGTTGACGAGAAAAATGATTACCCCGACTAACAGTACTGTAGCCACTAATAACATAGCATTCAATACTACTACTACTACTCCAACATTCCAAAATCATCAAGGGCACGGAAACACCCAAACAAATGCTTCTACTCACAACGGTAACAGCATCATTAGGGTTTGTTCGGATTGTAACACAAGCAGTACCCCACTATGGAGGAGTGGTCCTAAGGGTCCCAAGGTAATTTTCCCTTCCTTCTTTTATTTACCATGAAGCTATTCTTATTGATTACTTTTTATTTGGACATGCACTTTATAATTCTACTTAATTAATGATCAGTAGTCAGTTCTAATTAATGAAAATGAAAAATCTTGGTGGTGCAGTCGCTTTGCAATGCCTGTGGCATTAGACAGAGAAAGGCAAGAAGGGCAATGGCAGAAGCTGCAAACGGTTTTGCCACTAATTCCATGGTTGCATCATCTACAAAAACCAGAGTAGTGCATCACAAGGAAAAGAAATCTCGTACGAAACATTTTGCACAGTACAAGAGTAAGAGCAAGGCAACTTCAACTACTATAGCAGGAACATCTGAGGGAGAAAAGAAGCTTGATTTCAAAGATTTTGCTGTAAGTTTGAGGAATAACTCGGCTTTTCAGCAAGTGTTTCCAAGGGATGAAGTAGCTGAGGCGGCCCTGCTTTTAATGGAATTATCTTGTGGCTTTGTTTATTTTTAATTAGGATACTTCTGCCATAGGAATTCCCCTTTCTTTAATAGTAACTTATTTAGTATTTATATATTTGTTTAGTTTTGAGTTGGGAAATCGAACGGATACATATATCTGCAGCAAAACCAAAATATGGTCTGTTGCATTAGAGCTACTTTACTTTTAAGCCTTAATATAACTTTAGTTCCACGTTTCTAGCTTCATATATAATATGCATGTTAGAGAGATAGAAAGATTTAACCGAAAGTAAATGCCACTGCGCACAGCTGATGTAACTATTCCAATGAATTTAAGCTTTTCATAATAAGTTTATATCTAAACGCCCAAAAAATGTTATTACGAACGGTTATTGGATGATTTGTTTTTTGTTTTTTGTGACATAAACTTGATACATATCTTCTCATTGCAAAATGTATTGATTGAAATCTTCTAAAGACATTTGCAGTGAAAAAAATAAAACAAAATAAAATCCAAAGACTTGTTTAGAAAATCTAGACAGACTCACCTTTTTGAAAGAAAAAAGGTTTTTTTCCAACATCTTCAACCCAAAAGATTATTCTTTTCGGGGGGTCGGAACATGATTTTGGGACATTTGCTTCGAATTTATTTGGCAACTGGGTGGAATTTTGTATACTTGGCCCATGGCAGAAATTATCGGCAGACAAAAGGGAGGCGACTGTAAGTGTGCGAAGCCCGTGAATGTCTTCTAAACCTTGGCCCAGAGCGGTCCGATCAAGCCCGAGTTTATGATGGCTGGGATCGGGTTGGTCCAGCCCAGGATCAAAAGGCCTTCTGGGCTGGTTTAATAAACTGAGCTGAGGCCCATTTGACACACACATTACATCACATCCCAAGTCCCAATGGCATCAAATTCTATACAAATAAATAATGAGAAAAATGTGTATTAGGGGTGTTAAACGAACCAGGGGCCTTTGGCTCGGCTCGTGAAGACCTGAGCTTACATATCTAAAATTGGTTGTTGACACCAGGTTTGAACTTGTATAAAAGCTCGTTTAATAAAAAGGCCCCAGGCTCCAATTCAAAAGCTCGACCTTAGAGCCTCTCTGACTGGCCTAGTATATTATTATTATTTTTTTATATTTTTTATACTACTTGTAATAGCCCTCTATTTTTCTCAATCCATTTCACCCCATTTTATTGGTTAAATAGACTTTTTCAATGATTTTGTTCTATATTATGTTGTTTGGATATACATTGAATTTATGAATATTTATAGTATTACTAGTGTTGTTGATTGTATATTCTGTTTGGATAAATTTTTATTGTCTTATTTCTTTTAAACAGGCTAACAGGTTAAATCAAGCCTTTATTTTTTATAAATAAGTCAGGCCACAGGTCGATAATTATATTTATAACAGGTAACAGATTTGGTCAAGCTGACACATTTAAACACAGATTTAGCCTTTTAAGACCGAATCTCGGTTCGGCTCAGCCCGTTAACACCTCTAGTATGTATCATTTTAAATGATGTAAAGTTGTGTCATTTTAAGTGAGAAAAAAATAAAAGGGGAGAGAGAGTGGACAAAAAAATAAAAATAAAGATATGAGTCTCATCTCTTTATAAGAGTGAAATGATATAAGTTGTGTCATTTAAAATGACAAACACTTTTTCCATGAATAATCCCTTCATTCCACCGCTGGATCCCTAAGATCAGGATCCTACTTCGCTCGTTTTCCCCTCTTTTGAAATAAAGATAAGATCTTCTCATATTAAAATTTTACATGACCATATTATATAAAAATTTCATGTTCATTTTTTTCTACATTAATAATAATTGAACACTATCTATTTAATATATAACTTTTTGTCAAACATTGACGAAAATTGTCGTATTTAGGTTAAGTAATTATTATATAATTTCAAACTATTCACTATGACAAACATACTACATATAATATAACATATGGTTGTTCAAATTATTTTATAATAATAAAAAACTTTAAGTAATCTAAGGCATAGCAAAATGGCTAGTTGGTAATTGGTGACAGCGTTGTGTATGATTTAAATTAAAATTTAAAATAATAGACAGTGCAATTCAAAGGCGGCATACTCTTCAGAGTGTGAAGACAAACAATTTTGGTAGGTAGGAAGTAAGATGATGTTATTATTTAATAAAATCATTTCCTTATCATAAATATGGGATATGATAGTAAGTGAATTATACTTTTTAAGAAATGACAACTAGTAAATATTGGATAGACGTACTTAATAAAATGACTTGGTTGCATTATTTTTTGTCCAAAAAAATTAGTCAAAAATACATAAAAAAATAAATACACGAGAAACAAACAACTGAAGGTAGAAACTGTTTCCCTCTATTTAGAGAGAGGAGAGAGAGAGAGAGACACTTTGATTGTTTTTAGGCCGCAATTCTTCATATGATCATATTATTTATCATTATGAAAAACTAGAACAATGAAATATATACGCACTTTGTTCCATAGAAACTATATAGAAGTTGAAAATAAGTAATCAAAATACTGTTTCACTTAAGAGGAAATTTTTAAGGTACCACGGTAGTATTATTTACTCTGTAAGAAACACCAATCAAAAATGGAGAGAGAAGATGAAAGTAGGATATGAAAAAAAGAAAAAAATAAAGAGGTAGGATCATTTGACACCAGTGTCAAATTTAAAATTTGACACTGTTAGATTAAGAGATATTTGAAATTGAATTACTGTTGTAAAGATTTAGATTATCTTTCTGTTTATGTTTCTGTTTACAACAAATTCTTGTTTAAGAAGTTGTTAGAATATTTTTAGGAATTAGTTTTGAAGATAAAGTGTATAAATACTCATCCTCTGTAAATGAATGAAATGAATCAATAGAAAAGTATTTCAGAATTTAAAGTCTTGACATGGTATCAGTTGTGTTATGATCCAAGAGAATTTTTTTCTTCCATTAATTATTCCATCGTTTCTTACCTTTACCCAGACCTTTTTTTTTTTTCTTTTTTAAACCCAAACCCAATTATTCCATCGTCTTTTTACTTTCCCCTAACCCAGACCCATTTTTTTTACCCGAACCCAAAACCCGTTTCCCTTTCCCATTCCAAATCCCTAATCCATTTCCATGGACACAACGAATTCATCCCCTGAAACCAACCCCACTGCCGCGTCTTCCCCTGTTCCTCCTCCACCCTCCAACATCATTATCCAACAAGATATTTCATCTTTTCCCATCACCGTTGTTCTATATGACAACAATTACCCTCTTTGGTCCCAGTTGCTAGAAATGCGCATTGGAGCGCGTAACAAGTCCGGATTTCTCACCGGAACGTCTCTGAAACCACCGGTTGGTGACCCTTCGTACGATTCATGGGTTACCGACAACAAGAGAGTCAAGAGCTGGCTCATAGACTCCATGACTCCCTCTTTGATGTAGCGTTTCCTGCGCCTCGAAACGGCAGCGGCCATTTGGGATGCCGCACGAAGAACCTTCTTTGATGCTTCCGATGAAACTTGCTTGTTTGAGTTGAATCAACGTTCCTTCACAACGAAACAGCATGGCCGCCCAATCTCTGTCTATTACAATGAACTCCTTTTCATATTTCAAGATATAGATCATCGTACCTCCTCTCAGGCTGACACCGTTGCTGGGGTTGTCCACATACAGTCCTCTATCGTTCGATTACGTGTTCACATCTTTCTCAGCGGTCTTGATGCTGAGTTTGATCAGGTTCGCGGTGAAATCCTCCGCAAAGACCCAAAATTGGATCTTGAGGGGTCTTATGCTTACGTCCGTAGGGAATACCAGCAACGCGTCACTATGAATCGTCCAGCTCCTTCCTCTGAGTCCTCAGCCATGGTGGCCAAAGGCGGCCGTCCATCATCTGGTCCTCCAAAGCTTCGCAAAGATTCTTTTCCTCCGAAACCACTCTGCTCTCACTGTGGAGATGTTGGTCACCCTAAAGCTCGATGCTATGAGATCATTGGGTATCCCGATTGGTGGGATTTTACTAAAAGGCCTCGCCGGAAAATTCTGCACAGAGCTCCCACTCCCTCACCGGATATGACTTCTAATTCCTCTTCTGCCCATGCTGTGTACGAAGGAGTCCTGGGTAACTCTCCTCTCCCTTCTGCCAATGCTGTTTATGAAGGAGTTCCTGGTAAGTCCAATGCGCTCCTTACATTATCTGATTTTGATTCCTAGATAATAGATAGTGGTGCATCTGATCACATGATTAAAAATCATACATTGCTGACTGATTTTTCCCCTTCCCCTAAGACTGAGATTTCAACTGCTAATGGTGGTTCATCCGCCATAATTGGTCAAGGTTCTATATCCCTTTCTCCTTTGTTACATCTTAAATCTGTGTTGGCTGTTCCCTCACTCGAATTTAATCTCCTCTCTGTTAGTCAGATTACGTTTCATCTTAATTGCTCTGTGCATTTTTTCCCTACCTCTTGTATTTTCCAGGACAACCAAACGCAGAAGATCCTTGGTTATGGTGTTAGAAAAGGCAAGCTCTACTTCTTGGATGTCTCTTCCTGTAGCAACGAACTCTCTCCTCGTGCATCTACTACCTCTGCTGTGGACAAAGCAAAAGAAAAAATCTGGTTATGGCATCGCAGACTGGGGCATCTTTCATTTCGATATCTTCATAAGTTGTTTCCCAATTTCTTTTCTAGGATAAATGTTAGTGATTTCCATTGTTCAGTCTGTGCATTAGCTAAAAGCCACAGAATTCCTTTTTTTCCAAGTTTTAATAAAAGCACTATTCCATTTCAAGTTATCCACTCAGATGTATGGGGTCCTGCAAAGGTCCCTTCTCTTTCTAAGTCCTATTACTATGTAACGTTTATTGATGAATGCTCTCGTATGTGCTGGTTGAGTCTTTTAAAACACAAAGGAGATGTGTTTTCTGCGTTTAAATTTTTTTTTTATATGGTTCAAACGCAGTTCTACAGCACAATTCAGGTTCTTCAGACTGACAATGGAATGGAATATATGGATGGAGGTTTTAATGATTTTTTATCTTCTCATGGAATCAAACATCAGACTTCGTGCTCCTACACTCCTCAA